TACAAGTATAAGAGATTTCCTAAGTACTCCTTTTCAATCAGGTGACTTTTCAGAAATCCAGCTTTCCAAACCCAGCAGGCTTCACAGTAACTTTGGTGGTACATTTCCAAAGACACACTGTAAAATTGCCAAGGCTTCTTTAATCAGCCTGGCTGCAGTAGCCAAACCACTTCCCATCTGCTCCCTACAGCATCCCTGGCTTTATACAGCTAATAATCAACTCCCTGACAGGTCACTGCAGAGATGTTTAACCCCAGGAGGTAGGGTAACTAATGTGCAAGCTGGAAATGAAAAGTACTGACCTCTTGCTTCCACAGCAGAGAAAGTACAGAATCAGGAGACCCAATACCTTAAAGAGATCACAAGTCACTTACAACTAAAGCTTCTTTGAGTATTTCCATCTCTCCTGCCTCACGGTACTGCATTTTCCTATTTATTAACAGGACCTCGATTCACCCGAGCCTAGAACCACTTGTCTCCCATGACTTGTCAGTCTTATTTGTGCTGTTTGTGCACCTCATCACTAAGAAGCTCCTCTCTGCATGGATATGCCTAAGGGACCAAGATGGGGCATGACGACCACTCTCCACGCCCTGTACCCACGCGTGGTTAGAGGCAGCGCATCGTAATGACAGAAGCTCACATTCCAGTTTCCTGTCTGAAACTCAAATCCATCTTTGACCCCAGCCCAGACTGGTACATTTGTAAACTACACATTTCAGGTCTTTTCATTGCTTTTAGGGCACATGTCACTTCTTTATCTCAGGAATGAACAAGCCCTCTCTTCAAGAAAGCTAAGGATGAAAAGAATTTTTCAAGTGAGGTCTGTGTCCCTGCCCAGAGGGCATAAACAGTAACTGGACCCTACTTGTGTCCAAATATAACAACAAAAACAGTACTTCTCATTCCACCCAGATAACACTCTATTATCCATTCTAAAGGGCTTCAAAGAGAGAAGATTCCTTTAATTTTTAATTGCCCACAGAAAATCTGGCAAAATGTCCAATACTATTCTACTGTAAATGTATCTACCTCCTCCTCTTCTTATGGGTTTTGGATCAATCTTCTTACAGGGTTTGGCCAGAGCAAGTGACAACTGTGCATGACTGTGTATAATCTACTTGGAACCACACAGGTCACACACATAAATTAAAGATGCCAGGGCTGTCTGGCTAGGTATTCTCCAAAAGCTGCACACCAAAGATAAAAAAAAAAAAAAAAATTGATTTTTAGGGAGGTAGCACGGTATAGTAAAAAGAACTTAGAATTAAAAGATGTGATTTCTGGACTCAAATTTCCACTGACACTAGCCATGTTGTGAGCCAAGTTACTTCATTAAATATTAATTTTCTCATTATAAAGTAGAGGGAGAATCCATCATGTTCTAGGCATATTATGAGAATATAAATGGGAAAAATGTTAGATAATTCAGAAATGTAAGATGAGCCAAATATTCTTTTTTTAAAATAATCATTTTATTTATTTATTTATTTAAATTTGATCAGAGAGAGAAAGTGAGAAAGCAAGTTGCTAGGTCTGGGACTTGAAACTCAGTCAGCATGTGGAAGTCCAGCGCCCTTAACCACCATATCACCTCCAAATATTCTTGGAAGGTTCTGGTATCTTGGGACCAGCAGTTAGCATAATGGCTATGTTGCTGGACTCCCATGTGGTCGACCGCAGTTCGAGTCCTGGACCCGGTGGCTTAAAACACACGCTGGGTGTGTGTGCATGCATGCCTAAGATCCTGACAGGAGAATGGAGGAGAAGGGACTGCAGCATGGCCATCCCCCCTGGGGGGTGATTTCTCGCCTTCTGTCTCTCTCTGCCTGGTGAGCGCACATACCCTATAGCAAAAACCTCTCCAAAAATAAAAATAAAAAGCTCTGGTATCTTAACTTAAAGAGAAAACTGTTTCAGTTTTAACTCCCCCACACTTTAAAATATTTTTTATTTATACGAGATCTCTATGTCATAATCCTCCTGCCTCAGCTTTCTGAATAGCTAGGTGTACACTATTGCACCCAGCTTTTTGGGGTGGGCTGGGAATTGAACCTGGGTCTCCCATGTAGTCACACCCTGCTGAGTAGCAGCATCTACCCTACCAGTGGCTGGGCCTCATGATTATAACTTTATAGGGCACCTAAAGTATTAAGAAAATTTAAAAACAAATTTAATCTCTTTGCAAATTAAATCACAGGTCATACTGATGTTCTTTGAGTACTATGGAAGGAAATGACAACCCCTTCTCCTTTTATGAAGTCAGTGATCTGGGTTTTCTTTTTAGGCTCCTGCTACCTTCAGATATGGGTCACAAAACCCTACCCTGAAGTGCATGACAGAAAGACTCCATCATGCTTCAAAAATCTCTCAGGGCCAACATACCAATCTCAAGGCCCAAAGTTTTAACATATGGACTATTTATTTTACCAATTGTTCCAACCCACTAGATTCCTGACCCCTCTGATAGGACATGCCTTCAAATCCAAGTTATGTGAGGGTTCACAGGGTTTGTTTGATACCACAGGGAACTCTCAATAAACCAGTGTGATACAACGAAGTTGCTGAGAAGACTACATGTTATTATATAGCATCTCCCCTGAACTGCAGATGCTACCCTGAAATCATTTCCCACTTAGCCCGCCTCAGGTGAGGCTAGTACTACATGTAAACCATCCTCGGTGACTCTGTGCCTACCCAGCTGGAAGAACAGGCATCTCCCTCAACACCTGCCACACTTCATGGGAGCTCACTAATCAACTGAATTTCCACCTAGGGCTCTAACGAGAAATAATCAACTTCCCTTTGGGCCTCTCCCTTAATTTATTACATTAATTACTGTAACAAAGGAACTGTGTCATCTCCTCTAGTACTATAGCTCTCAGCCTATATCTCCAATGGAGATTAGATAAAGAACAGACTAATGGTGCCAATTTGAGTAGACAGATCCAATTCACCAGAGCTCCTCTGACCACGTGTCACCTCAGGACAGAAGAGTAAAACTACATCCCTCAGTCCCTGAGTCTTTATATGCTGCAGTTCATGGAGAGTTTTACGGTCCTCACAGGTTGCTATTCTCAGACAACGATTATGAGGCTTGGCCTGTTTCAATTTCACCTAAGCAACGTCACTTCCACCAGCACAGCTATCCAACAGGGCTCCGTGGTGCAGATGCTTGATGTTTGTCAATACTTCTATGTCCCACCCCACAGAAAACTAAACAACATACTGAATACAAGGAGTCTTCCAAAAGTTCGAAAAAAATAAACTCACACCTTAATTCCACTTTCTACAAACTTTTTTAATTCCCCCTGCATGTAAATATTTAAGTCCCAACTTTAAAAGGACCCACTAGGTGAAACTGACCTATACGGTAAAACCCCTAAGACCTGTGAATAAGTAGGTCAAGAAGCACAAGGCAAAGATTATCTAAAGCAAACAAAAAGTTCTGCCAGCCCTCCTTCCCTTATAATTGGAGGGCCACATAGCCCTCTATAATTTAGTTCCTACCCCCAAAGGTAAACTTTCTGCCTTAAAGAGAAAGTAATGTCAAATTCTTAAGAAAAAAGTAAATGATAGGGAAAAGCTAGGAATTGAGAGACCTAAGATTTAGCCCTACACACAGAATCATTGAGTCAAAAAATAACTTTCCTGTATTTCTTTTTTTAAAGAATAAGTTATTTAATGTATTATTTTTAAAATTTGGTATCGGGCACATGTGCTCACCAGAGAGACACACAGAGAGAGAAAGAATGTGAAAAAGCAAGCCACCAGGTTCTGGACTCGAACTGTGGTTGGCCACATGGGAGTCCAGCACTTTAACCACCATGCCATCTGTTGGCCCAAACTTTTCTATATTTCAATCTCCTCATTTCTACCACAAGGTCAAGTTCATAGGGTTTGAGGAAAAGGAAAAAAAAATAAATAAAACAACTTAGCATTTTTCAGAAAATACAAGGAATTGCCTTGGCTTCTTTTCTTTCTTCCTTTTTTTTTTTAAAAGATTTTGTTTATTCACTCATTTATTTTAATTTGACTAGCAAGAGACAGAGAGAGAGAGTGAGAAAGCAAGCCACCAAGTCCACGACTTGAACCATGGTCAGCCATGTGTGAGTGCCCATTGCCTTAACCACCATGCCACCAGCTGGCCCCTGCCTTGGCTTTATTTTCTAGACCTTGTCTCCCTTTCCAAATCTCCTGCACAACTATTACAGTAAATGTAAGGAGTGGACAAAGAAAACTCTTTCAAAAGACAACCAACTATTCTGTTAGACTACCCATAAAAAGGGTGGAATCCACATGCATATTCTTAAAAATATCTAACCCTTGTCTGCTTCTCCAGCCTGTCTCAGGGCCACACCCTCTTCCTCCACCTTTTCACCTCAACAACATTACCTTTGCATAACCTGTCATGCCCATGTCCCAGGTGTGTGATTATTTGATTAAGATTTGTTTCTTCTACTTGAATGCAAGAACCCTGAGAGCTGAGGGGGTGGTTTCTTCTGCTTACCACTGAACAAAAAGCGATTGGATCACAGTCCACTTTCAATAAATATTTTGATCAATTAATGAATGAATGAACTATTAGTACTGGTTTCCTCAATGAGCAGAATCCTAGTGGCACACTGCTGGCATTCCTCCTCTCCATTCTTACTTCAGCTTGCTCTGTTAGTAGTTGTAAACTGTCTCAATTACCTGTCAGTCTTCAAATCTACTAGGGCAGAGTGTGAATTCCCCTTTCCAGGATAGAGGATGTAAATTTATTAAAAGTCTATGGGGTCAGCAGGTGGCGTGGTGGTTAGGGGCGCTGGACTCCCACATGGCTGACTGCAATTTGGGTCCTGGACCTGGAGGCTTGCTTTCTCACTTTTCCTCTCTCTCTCACTCTGCCCTTCTCTGGTCAAAATTAAAAAAAATAAAGCTAAATAAAGTAATTCTTAAAAAAAAAAAAAAAAAGTCTGGAGGAAGGCTAGAAAACAAAGTAGTTCCCACATTTTTAAAAAAATATGGAATGTTTCACGAATGTATGTCATCCTTGTGCAGGAGCCATGCTAATCTTCTCTGTATCCTTCCAATTTTAGTATATGTGCTGCTGAAGTGAGCACCCACATTTCTTAAAATGATAACTGCCAGCAGGTGGCATGGTGGTTAGGGCGCTAGACTTCCACATGGCCAACCACAGTTTGAGTCCTAGACCTGGTGGCTTGCTTTCTCACTTCCCCCACTGTCTTTCTCTGGTCAAATTAAATAATAATGATAATAAAAAAAGTGAAATTAAGTAATTGTTAAAAAATGCCTAACTGCTCCTAAATATTCTCAGCCTTCAGTCTCATCCATACATAGTTGCTACCCAAAATATGACTAGTCCACAAACCAGATATTCTAAACATAACCAAACTCTTGGAAATCCCATGTATACACTTAAATTAAGTGTAAAACGTCTGTCAGACTTAAACCACCCATCTGTCACAATTTAAATATCAACCAAAGGTGATAAAAGTGGTCATGTCTAGGAGGGGACGCCTGACTGCAAAGCACAGGGAAGCTTTGTAGGGATGCTGGAAATGTTCTACAGCTTGAGCCAGGTGCCTATATGGCTGTATACATATGCAAAAACTGAGCCACACACTTAAGATGTACGCACTTACTGTGCTCTTTGGTAAGCGCATTATCCTCCAAGAAAGTTACCTGTGAACAAGTGAACTGCTTTCTGTATGCCATAGTCCTAGTCCTAAAGCAGCATTTTATCTAAAGGGAACGATGGCATCAATCATCACAGTTTAGGCTATTTAAACAGATGACAGGTGTTAAGGACAGGAAGGAAAGGAGAGACGTATGAGAGGAAAAGAAGAATGAAGAAAAAGGGAGAAAAAGAGACATAAAAATGAAATGATGGGTTATTCAATGTTTGACTGTATTTGTGAGGTTTACAGATCTGTTGGAGAGTCTGAAAGAATTAATTAGTGATAAGGACATAACAAGGCAAGAAAACGAGAAAAGTAATAATATTAAATCCTAGAGGGGAAAGTTACACAGAAAACATAATTAATAGTATACTAAATGGCTCAATAGTAAACAATATTTACTCGACACAATAATATCAATTTAACCAAAATGTGTCATGCTAGATAATGGATCTTCCAAAAGTTCATGGAAAATGTCTGTTATGAATTGACTGGACTTTGAGTGTGGCTCTAAACGACGCCATGAAGGACTGCTGGGATGACAGGACTGTTCTGCACCTCAGCTGTGGAGGTGGGCATATTGTGAACCTACACATGTGATAAAACTGCACAGAACAAAACACGCACAGTAAATAAGGGCAAGCAAAACTGGGGAAATTTGAACAAAAAAGGTGAACTGGATCAAAGTCAGTATTATAGCATAGCTTAGCAAGACATTACCATTTGGGGAAATTAGGTAAACGATACAAGGCATCCCTCTTCATTACTCTCACAACTGTATGAGACCTACACTTATCTCAAAATTAAAAGTTTCATTAGGGCCTGTCCTGTTGCACAATGGTTAAACGCTGTATGTAGGGAGCCAGATCCGACCTAGCTGACCACAGTTTGAGTTCTGCCTCTGGCATTTTGAAAAACATGCCGACTGCTTGTGCGTTCATGCTCAAAACCCTGATGGGATGAAGAAATGGAGGAAAGGGTAGAGGTGTGACTACACCCCCTTGGCGGTGCTTTTCCTCTCTCCTTCTGGCTAGCACATGTGCCGTCTGGCAACTAAAACAAGTTTTAATTAAAAAAATACAAAAATCTTGACTTTATTTTTTTTAATTTCTACAACCTCTACGGTTAACATATTAATTTACTATTGATAAGAGTAGCCCCGGACCAGCAATTAGCATAATGGCTATGTCGCTGGACTCCCATGTAGTTGACCACAGTTCGAGCCCCGAACCCGGTGGCTGAAACTCACGCCCAGAGCATGCATGTGCATGCCCAAGATCCCGAGAGGAAAACGGAGGAGAAGGGATTGAGGCATGGCCATCCCCCCAGGGGGGTGATTTCTCCCTTTCTCTCTGTCTTTGTCTTTCTCACGAGCAAACATATAGCAAAAGAAAACCTCTCCAAAAAAAAAAAGAGTAGCCCAATAACTAAGCTAAATAAATAATTTCTAAGTAAAAAAGGCGTTCTTGGGCTAGTAGGTGGCATGGTGGTTAAAGGCGCTGGATTCTTACATGGCCAACCATGGTTCGAGTCCCAGGCCCAGTAGCTTGCTTTCTCACTTTCCCTTTCTCTCTGGTCAAATTAAAAAATAAAAACAGGAAAATAAAATAAATAGATAAAACATGAGAATAAATAAATAAAACAAATAGAATTAAATAAATAAATAAAATAATGAAAAAAAGGTGTTCTTTAATACAGGATCCTAAGAATTGGTGATCAGTTCTATATACTCTTTTCATCACTCAACAAGATTTGATAATAGCCCCTTTATCATTTTACTTTTGAGTTTGTTATAAGGCACATATACTTAACAGAGAGAGAACAAAAGAAGCGAGAAAGCACTCCTGGACAGATGGCCACACCACAATCCCTTCTCCTCCATTCTCCTCTTGGGATTTTTGGAATGCATGCACATGTTCCCAGCCTGTCATGTAAACCACCAGGTCCAGAGCTTGAATCACACAGCTGGGCATGTTGCCTCAACGATCATACCACCAGCGGGGACCCCTTTGTCTTTTTTTTTTTTTTAAGTGTTTGCTATAGGGCACATGCGCTCACCAGAGAGAGAGAAATCACTGCACTGAAGGGATGGCTATGCCACAATCCTATTTTCTCTGGTCTCTTCTTGGAATGTGGAGCACGTAGCACACACACCCAGCATAATTCTCAAGCCACTGGGTCTCTGTCTTTCTGGTGAGCACACGCGCTCTATACAAAAACTTCTCAAAAAGGGAACGAGCAGTTAGCTTAATGGCTATGTCGCTGAACTACCACGTAGTCGACTGCGGTTCGCGTCCCGGACCCGGTGGCTTAAAACTCACGCCGGGCGCGTGTGTGTGCGTGCCCAAGATCCTGAGAGGAGAATGGAGGAGAAGGGATTGCGGCATGACCATCCCCCCTGGGGGGGTGATTTCTCACTGTCTCTATGTCTCTCTCTGTCTGTCTGGCGAGCCCACATGCCCTATAGCAAAAATCTCTCCAAAAAAAAAAAAAACACAACAACTTCTTAAAAAAAAAATTGATGTCAAATAAGACTAAGAGTCATTGTTTAAACTCTTCCAGACAAAATACTGGGTCGTCCGATGGTCTCCAGAGGCAATGTCATGAATTAAAAACAACACAAGACAAGTGAGGAGGCAGAAGACTCAATTCTACTGTCAATAACTTCGGGCAAGTCACTGTACCTATCTGAGTCTCAGTTATATCATCTGTAAAAAACTGAGATAATTAATATACCATACGTAGTATAATGCTCTCAGTACAAACTAGAACAGTACCCTGACATGGAACTCATTAATATTTCTACAACAAAATAAATATTTACCTGGAATAGAACAACAACAAAAAGCAATAAACAGTCTTCTACTAGTTGAGGTGAGCTTTGTGTTCACCTTATAGGGAAAAAATTTTTCAGCTGAGACTGTATATACCTGCAGAAGTACTTAGTGCCAGGAGTCAGTTTGCTAATTTATAACAAAACAATTTCTATCATCCTACAACTAAAGTTTTTAAATTGCCTTTAGCCTGAACTTGCCAAAATTCTCTCCTTTTCTTTTAGAGAAATTTTTGCTATAGGGTACATGTGCTCATCAGAAAGACAGACAGACAGAAAGTGAGAAATCACTCCAGGGGGGATGGCCATAACACAATCCCTTCTACTTCACTCTCCTCTAGGGATTTTGGGCACACACACACACAGGGGCCCAGCATGAGCTTTAAGTTGCTGGGTCCGGGACACGAACTGCAGTCAACTACATGGGAGTCCAGTGACGTAACCATTATGCCATTTGCTGGTCCCACCAAAATCCTTTTCAAACTAAATAATGTCCACTGGTAACAACTTGTCCACATACAATTATTAGTAGTTTGTCATATTTGACTTCTCCTTATGCAAATTAACCCACTGCCTTGATCCCAGTGTTACATGAACAGTTCCAAGTCATCTCAGTCTTTAATCTTAATTTTTACCAACTTTTCAATATGGTAGTTTTTAGTCCCTCCACCTTGAATCCTTACAGGCAGAATCACATTTGAAATCTACACCAATCTCTTAGAATGACTTTGCCACTTCTGACTTGAGGGGCTATACTTTCACCAAGTGTTCCATAGTTTATCCCTGATTTTTCCTAAATTCATAGGTAGATAAATTTGATCTCATTTAATTAGTTATTTGAAAAAAGCAAAAAAAAAAAAAAAAGCCCAGGCAGAGGGCCTCAACAATGGCATAGCAGGAAAGCATGATGCTCTGTCAGGCTGACCCACATGGAAGGGGCTCCAGGTTCTCATCCAGAGACCTCCCTGAGTATGCCTGGTATGTGTGGGCCCATGATCTGGAGCTAGCTGAGGCTGGGGGTGGAATGCAACATTAGGACCCTGCTAGGGAGTGCAGCTTCTCCATCTTTCTCTCATCTCATTCATGGAAGGAATAAATAACTTAAAAAAAAAAAAAAAGCTTAGAAAGCTAGATAAAAATCTGTTGTAAATACTAAATATATGCTAACATTTCTAGGATAATTCCTGAGATTTCCTTACATTTTTTTCCTGTACTTTAACAAGGATTTATTCAGGCTTAGTTGTGGTGGTTTAAGGCAATGGAACAATGCTGCACCGTGTTGGAACCATATGGGAGATTCCAGGGTTTGGTTCCCATGTACACCTGAACAGGTTAACAGGTGTGCCCATGATCCTGGCTGAGTGAGAGGCTGGGAGAGGACCTTGGTGAGATGAGACCCTTTCAGGATACCTTGTCTCTCTCTCAGGAAATTAAAAAAGAACTTTAAAAGAAAGAAAAAAAAAGATTGGGCCCAGCAGGTGGCATAATGGTTAAGACACTGGACTCCCACCTGGCTGACCATGGTTTGAATCAGGACCCAGCAGTTTAAAAACCATGCCAGGTGCTTGTGTATGCATGTCCAAAATCC